CCGTCACCTTAGGTGTATGTGGCTGGCGCCTTAGCCACTTGAGCCACAGGCGCTGAGCCGACAAGTTATTTTCTGTGTCAAAAGTAGTACGTGGAGGATTTGAACTCAGCTCTTCAGAGTGCCCCTAATCCACTTAGGTGATGAACTCATATTCTTGGTATTATTTGCAACACACTGTAATCAATGAAGGCTGAAGGAATGCCTTGATGTTCCATTTTACATAATCTGCAATTCCTTGAATAATCTTAAAAATTCCAGTGTCCTCAGATGCTATCAGAGGGTTCAAGTTTAAGGCTAAAGCAAAAGTAAAGAGACAAATGAGACTTAGTCTTCCTCTTACTGATGAGAAATGCTCTTAGATTGTGTTCTACGAGCTCCCGAGGACGGGCTGCAGAGGGCCTGGACCGTGTGTGCCTGCCTCTGCGCCTGTGAGAGCAGCAAGGACGGGTGCTTAAACCTGCTACTAGATCTCCGCAGGGTGTTGAATGCTCAGCTAGGGACAGATAGCAACTTAACAGAAAACATTACCTGGATTGTAAGATTTCTGGGGGAGCTCCACCAATGTATATATCTGTGAAAGGTATTTTCATCTTTTCATTATCCATGCTCTTAATATGTCGTCTGTCAACTACCAAGATCATTTTCTTATCGTTGTGGTAAATGATTGAGATCTGTGAGAAATAATACTAATCAGCGTTTTGAAAACGTCTCATAGTGTAATCACTCTGGCTGTAATAGCTGGTCCTCCACGCTTTCCTGGGGTCGAGGAGAGGAGGGCCCTTCAGTTGCTCTTTGGATATGGAAGTGTTCAGTTTAATTACCATCTTGCTTATCCCCCCTGACTGCCTGATGAGACTAATAGATCTACCCATGAAAGACAAAACAAAAACAAAACCACCCAAGCCAGGATGATTTGTACCTCGTGGTATTTTGCATCATTAATCTGAGCTTTCTTCAACGTGTCTTCCAGGTGCACGGGGCCGTTGCTGAAGCCGAAGTCGTAGAGCACGTGTAGGTAACCACTGCGCATTTCCAGGCGGAAAAACATACTCTGCGGAGAGAAGGGCCCAAGATGGCAGCATCGGCTTGTATGAAAGTGCAGTTACATTTAGCCAGATTTCAGAAATGAAATTATTCTAGCCCTTATTCTTGAAATTATTTGAAGACAAAAAAAGTCTCGCGACCTTCTTAGTATGAGCTAAAAATGAAAACTCCTGCCTTGTCAACAGTTATTTCTCATATAAATACGTGAAAGTGTTCACATTTATTTAAATATTTAAAATAACTATCTTGTTTTTATCCTACTTCACAAATTAACGGGTGAAGTTTTAGGTCTGCATTACTACAGACCTTGTACAATTCTTGAGAACAGAGCATAATGGACCATCTTTATTCAACTGCCTTGTCTTTAGGCAACTTGTAAAAATTATAACAACCCGGTAGATGAGATTTCATTCATTTTAAAATAAAAATGGAAACATTAAAACAATAATTTCCCCAAATTGTCAGAAAATATGAATAAAGAAAAAGAAGGCCTTTTCTGTGTTATTTTGATACACTGTATTTATGTATAATGGAATGAATGAATTAATTAATAGAAGGCCATTTCTGTGTTATTTTGATACACTGTATTAATGTATAATATGGAATTATTATGTACTTGGACCCCACGGTGTTTGAAAACCAAAGTAATTCAGTAAGCACTCAAGTAATACTGATTGGGTTTGCTTGTTTCAGAAAATATTAATAGTTCATGGATACAAGAGTTCAATAGATTCAAAAAATAAAGAATTGTGACAAATTCATGTCCTATTCTACCGGACATGATCTCCTGAGAGGAGTTTGTGTATTCCCAGAAGTGTGGCAAACAATCCATTGGGGTTTAGGAACAAAATATTTCAATTTCAACTTCTATTTATATTCATTTTAAAAATCTCAAATAATATTGAATACATGGGCTACTGACTCTGGGCCTTCAATTCATCCTTTTGTCAGACTTTTATGGGAACCACAACTGTGTGAGGCTTCCCAAGAGGGGTTCCACCCCTGGGTCGTTGCAGGTGGCCTCCCTCCCCATTTCTTTGCTTCCAGGCTAATGCAAAACAAAGCCACTCAGCCCATCCTGGCTTGGGCAGTTTGTTTTTATATGTGCTTATTTACATGGATTTACAGGTGATACAACCTGAATAATAGAATATTTACATTCATTTCGTGTGGAGGTTAGAGTGGTGTGAAAATACTTTGAAACATGTAGATATTTGCTGGTTACTTCCTGCAAATTACTAAAAACACTGCCAGATTTAAAGAGGGTAACACAGGGTGGCGCCTGTGGCTCAAAGGAGTAGGGTGTTGGCCCCATATGCTGGAGGTGGTGGGTTCAAACCCAGTCCCGGCCAAACAAACAAACAAACAAACAAAAAAAAAAAACTAGCAAAAAAAAATTTAAAAAAAGAGGGTAACACATTTTTCTTTATAAAGTGAATTATTCTAAACTTGTTGAACCTTATTTGTGATGACAAATGTCTTTCAGTAATATAAAACCTACTAGTTATTTCAAAAAATAAATATATTGTCATATCAGGGTAAGGATATTGTTATAACAATGGATAAGAAAGTAACTTTTTCTTTCTTTTTTTTGAAGACAGTTATACTATGGAGCGATTGTGATTGTTCTTTAAAAAGATATTTGAGGCCAGGCACGGTGACTCACACCTATAATCCTAGCACTCTGAGAGGCTGAGGCAGGTGGATTGCTTGAGCTCAGGAGTTTGAGGCCAGCCTGACCGAAAGTGAGACCCTGTGTCTACTAAAAATACACTACCGGGTACAGTAGCGGGTGCCTGTAATCCCAGCTACTTGGGAGGCTGAGATAAGAGGATCATTTGAACCCAAGAGTCTGAAGTTGCTATGAGCTATGATGTCACAACACTCTACAGAGTGAGACTGTGTCTCAAAAAAATTAAAAATAAAAATACATAAAAAGATATTTGGAAATTTCTCTGCTTCTAAGTGATTTTGTTGATGGAAAAATCTAAGTGTGCACCTACAAAAACTCTCATGTGTGATACAGGTACTAACGAAACATTTGTAGCAAGAAATCTCTGACCTATTTAAAAATCTTTCAAATGAAGATTTTCAGTGGTTTCAAACTCTTTTATTAAATTTTTTTAAATGATACAATATCTTCTTAGCTTATAAGAAATGACATTAGGGAAAAGGAAAACATACCAGCCAAATCTCAAAGACAACCTTTGTGCTTGGTGAACTTGATTAAAAAACTATTTATGATTTAGAAGGCACTGCCAATGATGTATTTCTTAGATTTTTTTTATTTTTGTGAAGTATCTTCTCCAGTTATGACAGTCGATAAAACAGTGTTGAAATAAACTATACTTAGGACTTTTGAATCACTGTTATCACAAAGAGTTTAAATATTTAGCATATTTAATTAAAGTGTTCTCAGGAAAAGTGTTATTAAAAATAATTTTTAGTGAGAGGAAAAGGATTTCCGTATCATTAATAAAAATTAATTTAATTTCACCTTTATTTTAAATATTTTATCTATTTTTATTTAATCTTTTATTTCATTATTATATGCTTTTCCTTTTACTTCTAGTTTTGAATGTTTCATATCATACTTGTATCTATTTATAGTACATATGTTACTTGTAAATAAAGATGTCTATGTGTGCACATATGTAAGAGTGTGTGTGTGTGCACGCATGGGGAGTACATACGTGTATGTATATGTATACATACAGAAGCCTGGAGAAATGCATTTCGGGGTGCTTTTATTTATTGCTATCATCAGTTCCCTGAATCAGAAAAAAAAATTAATTTTGTTTTCTAAACTAGAACTTAAGTTTAATGGCATGGAACAGTCAACCTGAGGTTTCTGAAAACGTGAATAGCAGAGGGTAGTGGGAATAGAAGAGAACAAGTAGGACTTTTATGTTTACTCACGCCATTGACCATCAGGAGAATAAGGCCGTTGTCAGCTGGTGTTCGAACTTCTATGTCAAAGCGAGTCACCTGACCGAATTTCCCTCTCCTCGTGATGTCCCTCACCACAGCATAACTAGAGCCATCGAAGAAGTAACTGGCAGCCCGACTCTGAGTGAAGGCCAGTTTGTCTCTGAAATGGAAATGTGAGGATCATGTGAACATCACAGTGTCTGTTATGCTTTTCAAATGAGGCCCTTTTCATCCATCTTCTGGGGGTCTTATAACATTGTTTGCAGGGAAGAGATGAAGTGTTCACAGGTAAGTTAAATGGATTGTTTTTAATGGATTCCTTCTTTATCCTATGTGCTAAGACAACTGAAGTATCCAGGGACACGCCAGTTCCTGGAATCCAAAATCAAAGCTGCAAACAAGTTAATACTGCTGTGTGTGCATCTGTGGTAGAGAAAAATTGAAGATGATTTTTGCAGGTGTGACTATTAAGAAGTTGAAAACTAGTTTCCCCAAAGAAAAGTCTGAGAACCTGAACGCTGACTGGCTCATGTCCTGTGTGCTGCTCTCACCACCATCCGCATCTTTAGTACTCTTTGCTGTCTCTCACCTGGCACAGGGCACTGACGTGGAGGGGTCCATGTTGTAGATGTGCTTAAAGTTGTACAAGCTGATCACATCATTATTCAGCGTGGCCAATTCCAGGCAGCCGACAAAGCCAGGTAGGTCTAAGGGGGCAGGAAGCTGTGCAATAGAAAAAGTCCAGTCAGCTGTCTCATGACCGTATTTTACTCAGACATTATGTAACAGAGCATGAGACTCATAGCAGGTCAAGGGCACCTGTCTCTTGATGGTATCTTTCCAGACCCGAGTTTGTATCTGCTCCACGCCAAATTATTTAGATCAGTGGTGATTTGTCAGGTGTGCAAAGCTTAGCAGAAAAGGTGGGGTTTATTGAGCAAACACTATGTGCTGGTCATATGCTGGACAGTGACTTCATGGCCAAAATCACTCCCCATCCCAGTTGTGTGAGGTAGGTGTTCCTATTCTTTTTTTTTTTTTTTTTTT